CAAAACTCGCTGATCAGCATGGTCTTGCCCGACGACTTGGGCCCCTGCAGAGCCGCCACGACTCCGGCATCTCCCGGGCGCTTGGATAGCGCCCTCTGCAACTTCGCCAGTTCGCATCGGTTCATGAAGACACCATCTACGTCTAGCGACGCCTTTGACAGAGAAGAAAACCTCCGGCATAACCGACCTGCCCGAAGCATTGCCATATATAAAAACTTTCTACCTAGATATATATATATATATATGGCCGTGGTCTAAATTTGGAGTATTTTCCTTTCTTCCACTTGATGGTCGCAAAATATTCTCTCTTTGATCAACCGTTTCCACGATCATTCTAATTCTTTGTGTTCTTCAGTGTCGGAGCTGGGGCGTGGCGATTCGTCGCGCAACATCATCGAGATCATCTTCTCTGATGATCTGATGACACTTTGTAAGCCCGCCCTCAAGTTTTAAAATCTCCTTTCATAAAAGGTGACACCAAGGTTTGAATTAGTACTAACATTAAACACTAACCTTGTATACTTAAATAAAAACTAAACATTACATTGCATAAACAAAGCTCGCCCAATTTATAGCAAGAGATCGAACAACACCTCTGGCCGCCGGCTCTCAGCAGCACAAAGGCCCTGTAGAGTAAAAAGCTTTTATCATCTCTGTGAATGGAGAATGTGATCTCTCACCTCAATCACGTATGCAAGCCTGAGCAGCGTAGCTTCCGACCATGGTTTCCCGATAAGTTGGATGCCAATCGGCATGCCCGCCTGGTCAAATCCAACCTGGTAACTCCAAAGATTGAGCTAGCTAGAGATGGAGTTTGTTCATGTGGTTTACCGGCACAGATATCGCGGGAAGTCCGATGAAGTTCCCAGCAATCTGGTACCGCATGAGTTTAGCTGCAATGATTCACGTTGAAACAAATCGCTGGAACATTAGCAAAACTCAAGACGGCTACCTCCATAGACATAGTTGAGTTCTCCACATTCAAGAGCGTCCAACGAAATAGATGGTGCTGTTGCCCTGTGGATCAAGTGCTCAGAGTATGCAACCAAGGTTCTAACAAGCTCACGCTGTGGTAGGAGTTACGATCACATCTGCGTTCTTAAATATCTCCATATGGTAGTACATTTGGCGATACCTGTTGTGTAAAACCAGTGCTAGTTGTTTACAAAAAGAGATTTCAAGGCTTGCCTCATGCGTTGCGCTGAAAGATATTCGGTGTTCGTAAAGGATTTATACAAAGCAAATCCAACTCGGATATCCGCACCAGTAGCGGTTACACCTCTGCAGAAAAGCACTTAGTTCTCGATCCATAATATACGTTCTTACACGTTTTCATATTGGATTCCAATGGAGCTGTAACACTCGCAGCCGATTGTGACAAAATGTGCTAAACGCATCTCCTCCAATTCCGGTATAGTGACCTCAACGGTCTGCTCAAATCACACCATTCAGTTGATAGTAAACAGGAAAAAATCACGCTCACCTTGCAACCATATCGTTTCTGTAGTTTACTCAAGGCTGCGTAACATCGGTCCTTCACATCAGGATCCGAATCGTCAAACCACTGGATGAAAAACAGATCGTCAGCAAACACTACAGGCCTCATAGCCTTGATAACCTCGGTGTATTTTGCAAGTTTTAAGCCGCCAATAGCCTCGTTTTCGATACGGTTCAACTGCGGCAGAGTGACCTGAGGCTGCAATAAGGACAGACTTGTTGTTGACAATGTGAAGGTAATAAAAAAGTTCAATGGCATCTTACAGGTATTGAAACAATGCGGTCGCTAGAAAGATGGCCCTGAACAGCTGCATACCTACAGTAGTTTTATGAGAAAAGAGGAGACTGATAATTTAAATCGAATACATTATAAGCGTGTCCTCGACCGTTGCTGCCAATACCCCAACGCTTCCAACTGTCCAGTTTAGAGGAAGCACCCTGCTCTAAATCGTAAACATCTACGTGAAGAGAAGAAATTAAAAGACATACCCATGAGACGAGATACGCCCGAATGTGCCTTTCAATCCAACAATCCCGCAGAGTGCTGCCGGCATGCGCACAGAGCCTGTAAACGAGACATGAGCTTGAAGTCTCGTGGCTGGACATTACCTCCGCCATCGACTCCTAATGCAGCAGGACAGAGTCCACAAGCCACTGCAGCAGCTGAACCTCCAGATGATCCCCCAGACGCTTTTGCTTTGTTATAAGGATTTCGTGTTGCCCTGTCAAACACGATCATGAGTCGAAAATATGTTTTGTATATAAATGTGATACCCATAGTGAGGATTGATGCCAGTAGTGCCTTGCCCGAGCTCATGCATATTAGTTTTTCCGACAAGCATCGCTCCACACGCCCTCAACTTCGATACGCATGCTGCGTCTTCTTTGACATCTCTCACTTTACTCATCCATTTCGTGCCACCTGAAATGAGCGAAACGTTTATAAAGTGACTACTAACGCTTAAATTAAAATATACCGGTGGTGTCGTATGGCAGACAATCAAGCTCGTCTTTCACAGCAATTGGAACTCCGTCGAGAACAGACAAAGGTTTCCCTTCATGTCAAAGATTTAGAAAGTAATCGTGGAGAAAAACAAACTTGTACCTTGCTTGTATCGGGAAGTGGACTCTTCTGCTTGGCGAAGTATATCTCGAGGATTATATGCGATAAAGATACTCATTCCTGGTTGTCCTTTTATAGACTCGTCGACCGCAGAGAGAAATCTCTCTGCCACCTGCATGATCAATCGCATGAGCGCTAAATCCAATGCAGTGCTTAAACTAAAAAAACCAATATCACCTGTGTTGGCATAAGGCGGCCAGACTTATAAGCGTGTGTATAGTCCCGGATAGTCCAGTGCCGAAACACATATGCTCCATCCCCGGCTTTCCTTTCGTGAAGGCTACCAAGGCAGTCCAACGAGCGGGCAACTCTACCAGGAACCGAAAGACTCGAGTCAAGCGTCAGCACACCATCCTCCGGTTCTGTAAAGTAAATGCTCTATCTAAATACCAATTCAGGTTATATGATCTCACAAAAAAACTACCTGGCAATGAGAAATGCGGCTGAAACATGGGAGGCTCATCATACCGGGATTGCACAAATGTCTGCCATAAACAATGTCGACACATTGAGCAAGACAAACTATGAACACTAACCTTTGTGATAAGATTGTCCCTCTTAAGCTTTGGTTTTAGAAAAAAAGTTCCAATGGTGGACTCCATCATCCAGGTAAAGCATTTGAGAGTCAAGCCAGCCATGCGTGGAGCTGGTTCACACGGTGGTCGACACCAGGTCAATCAAGCACTTTTACAAAAGAAATTTCATGGAAACTATCCTCACCTTTAACTTCCACGTATAGATATTCGACATCGCTATCTTCTTTCGTGCTCATTCGCTCCACTGGTGTGTACTCGAGCCATTTGATTCCCATTTCTCTTCCCCTGAACCACCAAAGAAAAGTCGAGAAATCAGCCAGGCAAAGGGGAAACGACCATCCGCACAGCGAGAAATCCAGGGAGAGAGAGAGAGAGAGAGAGAATCCATGAATTTCACGAAATCCAGGGAGAGCGATGGATTCATCATCGAAAATAACTCCCAAGAACCAAACCGGAGCTCCAAAATCACCTGGAATCGAGGCGCTAGCAAACGAGAGCCGGAAATTTCACCGCGACACTGGCAGATCAGCGATTATCCATCGAGCGATCGCCTCGTTGCCTCTTCCCCCGCCTCCGCCAAGGCGCAGCAAAACAAGCCAAAGAACTGGAAGTAGGGATCACATTAACATAAACCCTGGCGGATAATTCTCTTTTTCACTGCGGTGAAAAGTAAAGAAAAGTCACATTGCCCGGTTTAAATGGTTTAGGTGAAGCTTTGTCTCACACAAGGTTTCACCTACCACCATTTCTCGTTGTGCCAGGTAGGGGAGAAAATTTCCCAATGCTTGGAATAACCTGGCAATCATAGTGAGCGCCTACCAAATCCCGGCCGTCCATCTCGTGGCCAATTCTACGTAGCATGGGAAAGATCTGGCAATCATGGCAGCGTAGTGCGAATCCCAGCGGTCCATCTCGTCGCCCGTTTCGAAATGCGAAGATTCCGGAATCTCTTCATACTTTATCCGGGTGGCGAGCAAGGAAGATGCCATAGCGCATTGATTTGTGCGATCTCCCTTTCATTTTATTCTTTTTTGGCGCCTCGCTATTCTGGCCAGGGGGCCAGCTGTGACGCTCGTCTCAAACGTATGAAAATACGTACGCCCCCTCGTAATGCGGTTGGCATTGTTGATCTATCCAAACTTTCGCGCTCTGCGAGCTCTACGCTTCCTGGAATTCGGACACCAGAAAGAAAGTTGGCTTGTTCTTCATCAGATTTCCACCAACGCCTCCTTTTCTCGATTGTTCTTTCTGCCACAGCTTTGAATTCCATATCATCTAACAACAGAGTAGTGAATCCAAAGCATGTAAGTTAAGGGAACTTATCATCGGACAGCCAAACAAATCTTATGCGCTGCCGTTGCTTCGGTTTGAGGTGTGATATCAACGACTTCGTTTTCGTGAGCAGAGCTTCTCTGCACCACAAGCCGCAAGAAAAACTCGGTCAGAACTACAAAGTTCTATGGCACAGCTTAAACCTTTACGTTGCCCAGCCTTCCTTTAGAGCTTTTTATGCGAAGAGGAAGAAGTTGATCAACTTATTCGATGTTTTTCTGATGCTACTTACGGGTTGGACCTTCTCAGGTATGCCAGGAGACTGAATCCAACCACCATAGCTGCACCCGCAGCAATAGTTGCCGTCGTCGTAGACGCAGGCCAGCTCTCTTTGAATGCGAAGTCGAAGGACGATGGTACCCTACCAGCTGGTCTGGGAGTTTTCTTTTTTGTTACGGCAGTGGGGCTCTCGGTCGACTCGTCCAGGAACAACCGCAAGCCCTGCAAATGAACATTTAATAGGTTTTTAAATTGCAGGTAAGGTTCAAACGCATTACCTTTGAGCCCGAGACTTTAGCAAATCGCAGTGCATCTACAAGATCGCTGTCCGTAGCGAGTAACACCCTATCCCCTTCGTCGTCTTCGTACTGGAAGCCCCAACCAAAAGTAAACAAAGCGTCGCACAGAAAATGTAAATGATAAATACCAGTATTTGTGGAACATCTATCCCCACTCGGTTCTTTATGGCGGCAACCAAATCGACTAGAGTTTCAGAGCCTGAAAAATAGCCCTCAGTCACGAATTGCAAAATAAAAAAAAAAAGAAGAAAAATCACTCGCCGCATTGGAACCGATGGACTCGGCCCTTCTTGTCTTCTAGCTTAAATGAAAATGTGTTTGCTGAACCCTTTCCTCCCTCAGCATGAAGATGCAGTCTAGCTGAAACATCACTGGCCGCAAGCATGTTAAGTAATAAAAGTAGCAAATTCAGAGTTTTACCTTCTGGAATCATCGTCGTCTTCGGTAGACTGTTCTAGTCCAAAAGCTGAATCCCAGAATTTTTGCATCATTCCTCCATCCCCTAGTCCTGGAGTAGAGCCAACCTAAAGACCAAACAACACGATATGAAGTTTTTCGTAAACGCTTTACTTCAAAACTGACCGTTGCGAAAGCTGAATGCGTAATATGAAGAACGTCAACACAAGATACAACATGACCATCTGAAAACAAAAGACGATAAGAAAACAGAAAGCTGAAGCACCAAGCCAACCTTTATTTATCACTGGCAAATGGAGAAATTTGCCATCGTGCATAGTATGGAGGGCGTCCACTATCGTCATTTCCAAGTTTGCACATTCTGGATTTGTCGTCATAATCTGGCAGAAAACAGACATTACAAAAGTAGTAAGCTTTCAACTGCAATCTCGATGCCTGTACCTTTTCAACTGGTATATCAGCAGCAACACCAACTGCAACTACTCGCATTAACACGTCCTTGGATCTGCTCGAATTATTGATGAGGAAAAAGTATGAAAAAAGGCTGACTTACGTGAGAATACCCACAGGCTTGTTTCCAACAGTTACTACTACGGAGTTAACCTTCAATTCACGCATCTTCTTTGTCGCAGTAAAAACGCTATCACCGGGCGCAACAGTGGCTACTCTGAAAAGGTAGATGCGTTAAAAGTAATCTCGCTAACAACTAGTTGTCTTACTTCGTATTCTCATTAACTAGTGTTCCTAACGTCGGCCTAAACATTCTCTCTTTCAATGTCTCAACGAAATTTGACTGCCCTGCAAGAATATTTCAATTAGAACTCTGTTTATGCTGGGACATTTCTTACCAGAAAACGTGTTTCCCCATTGACGTTCAACGTCCTCCACAGCTGCTGCAATCGCGTTACCCTTCAATGCAGACCGCTCCATGCGCACTATAGCGTCATACAGGCACTTCGTGATGTCTAAAAGTGCAATCACCTCGCCATTGTCTACGACAGGCAAGTGTCTGAACTTTCCTGTAAAACAACCGATAATCTCTAGATCAGATACAAGGATGAAACAGCAAATCAACATACCCTGAACCATTTTTTGAAGTGCGTCCACCGCCAAAGAATCGCTCATAACAAAGGTAGGATTCCGTGTCATCACTTTCGAAACGGGAGTATCTTCGGGTCTCAAGCCTTCAGCAATCACTCGAGTTGCGACGTCCTAAACACACAAGTTCGAAAGTTAGGAATACAAGCTAAAGTTATTTATCTAGCGCTACCTTATCAGTGATGATTCCACAAAGAAGAGCACTCGAATTCGTAAGCAAAGCAGCGTCAACCCTGCGATTCGCCATTCGCTTGCATGCATCCGCGACCGATGTTCCATCGGGAACAGTCAAGGCCTTGGAAAGTCTCAGCTTTTTCACTGTGCGTTCCGCTGTCCCACCCGATCTTTAAAAACAAGTTTAGTGTCGGGAAAGTGGATAAGAAAGAAAAAAATAACGAACTCACGAGATCATCCCGCCACTGCCACTGCGCGATTTTTGCAGAGCGCTGCCGCCATTCTCCGGTGGCGTCTTTTTTCTCGAGAGAGAAGGCCCGCGCTTAGGAGGGTTCTTGTTGGTGCCATGCACTGCCGTGCTCATCTTTGCTACCAAAACCTGCAAGATTGCTAACGAAGAACTAAAGAATCCTCCAAGAATTCATCGTCTCGTCGCCTAAGAAGCAGCTAACGCGGCGGAAATCGCCTAAAATATCCCTCTCAGATGCTCCAAGAACCTGGAGAGAGGGAATTAAATTCGCCGAAGAAAGATCCGAGCGAGCGACGAGCACATACCAGATCGATCGATCGCCCGGCTTCACTCCCGGCGCCAGTGATCGCCATCGCCGCCCTTCTTGAAGCATCTCAATGCGGGGGAATCACGCGAAAGAAAGACCCTAAAATGGAACATAATTTGAGCGAAGCCTGTACGGACACATCTTTGTCAACGTTTGAAATACATTCTATCCACTAAAAGCAGAATATCCCTCGTATTAACCGTCGGATTGGCTGCCCGATGGCCGTTGGATCGAAAGATTTACGTTACGGAATGTCTAGCATAAACCCTTGGCATTTCATATTTGCGAGGGCTTCGTTGTACGGCGTGGCAATGGCGGACGAGCGCCTGGAGCCGGTGCCAAGGCTCTTGGAAGGAGATCAAGCGCTACCGATCGCGGATCCTCAGGAGCTCCCGCCGAAGCTGGAATCTTTGGAGTCCGTGGATTTGTCGGGGTCGCTTGGGAAAGAATCTTTGCTATCGGCTGGGGCGGCGGCTTCTTCCCCAAGATCGAGCGCCAGTGCTGCGAGTCCTCGTCTCGATCAGGTGAAGCCCTCGGTAGAAGTTGTAGGACTGTCGGATGATGCAGGGCATGATCTGCGGCTGGATCAAGCCACATTCTTTCGCTGCGTAGAGGATGGGAATGTCACGGCCTTGGAAGGGTTGCTTAAGAACAGGAAGCTGGATGTCAATGCCTACAATGATGATGTGAGATTTTCTTTCACTGTTTTTTTGTTTGTTCGTCCTGTTCATCGCAACTTGGATTGGATTGTCCAGGGAATGACTGCATTGCATCTAGCAGTGTACAAATACGAGCAATCTCGGAACTTGGAAATGGTTGACCTTCTTATCAAGCATGGAGCGAGTGTTTGTGCCAAGGCTGCTGGTACTCCAGCCACCCATCGGATTTCTATCATCCGTCACGACGTCAAGCACACAGGTGTTTTGGAAACAAGGAAAGTAGATTTTCATCAAAAACCACCATTGTTGGTCGTGTTGGAGCTCAAGTCGTCGCTCTATCTGAAAGGTATGGATGGATTCACTTTGTTTATGGTTGGGACTGACTTTTACGTAGGATGGGAGTATCGTCACTGGGACTCGATGCTCAAGCTACTGGCGGAAGCAACCATTAGACACTACGTTGCTAACAATGTGAAAGAACCTACGGTTCATGAGAACGCCATTCCAGAAATCATACAAAAAAACTGGAAGAGCGTGTTTCATAGCGGAAAACATGAGACGATCGAGCTTTGGGCAGAAGGGAGGCATATCGAAGCATTAAAACTTCTTTTGTCTGGCGCATCCAAGGTGAGCTCCTGGTGATGAACTGAAGCTTCACAGAGCTAATATCGCTGTTTTATCTTCCAGATATTGAAACTTAACATCGAAAGCAACTCCTCCAGGATCGACATGAAAGATGCATCCTTCAACATTGTGAAAGCGATGGTCGAGTTCCTTTACACGGGTCATTTGGATGCATCCTTGATAGAGCAGCGAGGTATTGATCTGTTCGTGGCTGCTCACAAGGTAATTACACTATCTAGTAACCGATCGATTGACAGTTCTTCTGTGCTTTTGTTTTTCTTTCAGTATGGTGTCGATGTACTTAAGTTGCGGTCTGAAGCTGCCATAGTCGCCACTCCTGGTACGATGTTTTCGTTCATTGATTGGTTTCGTTATTTTGTTTTTTCGCTTGTTTTTTGCAGATAACTGGATTAAACTCTTGTCTGTAGCCACGGAGTGCAACTCCGATGTTCTTGCCTGGAAGTGTGCTACTTCGATCAAGAACCTCATGGACACGAGACAGGACCGCGGACATACGTTGAGGCACAGCTTCTCAGAATCACACGAGGCACCGCAGCAGCTCTTTCAGCCATCGGCTTGACAAAATGCTAAACGCTATAGCACTTCCTGTAAGTAGCTTCCTTAGTTCTTCTAAGTAACTCTTCTTGGAAGTCTTTGAGAACAGTGCCAGAAATCTTTAAAGGTCGAGGAAAGTATTGTCTATGGTGGTGTTTCGACGCTTTCGTGGAGCGATTTTTTCGACACAAAGAAGTAATGTCACTGTAACGCTTTCGTGTGCAGCATTGTCAATGTAGTAGCGCTTCTTTCAACGCTTCGATTGGAGCGAGTCTTTCGCGTCTTCTATCGCTATTCAACGATTTCTTTTGATTTTTACTGTCCATGGCTTGGCCGCCACTATAAGTGGACTGGGATATGCCCAGACAGGGCATATGTGATGATCAAATTTTTGTAAGGTTGAGATGGTTGTCAAGGAATTCTCTATGGACGTGATGAGCCGGTCCGGTCAAAGAACTGGAGGCGTATGACTTTGACCAATGTGCTGGCCATTGAGGAAGGTGGCAACGAAGCAACCTGGTGGCCGGCAAACCCTAGGGGGGGGCTTGGCTAGGGTTTAAAAGCTTTCGCGATGCTCCGGAGATTCGCGGTGGCCGCGGCGAGGCGAAGCAGAGGCAGCATCGGGGCCTGCGTCGGCAGCTCCATGGATCATCAATCCAGATCGCTCTCCGCCGCTGCAATCGCTACAGCGGAGGTTGTGGAGGAGGAGGCAAGCAAGGGCGGGTGTGCAGGGATCCGGAAGCTCTCCACCATGACGTGGTTGTCGCCGCTCACCATTGGGAATGTCAATCCCAAGGTAAAATCTATCGTCGATGCTTGTAGCTTGATTGAATTCTCTCTTGTCCAGGTGACGAAATGCGAGTATGCTGTCCGAGGAGAGATTGTAATGCGAGCACAGGTGCTGCCCCTCTTTTTGTTTCTCTTCTCTATTTTGATCTGGAATCTTTCCTGTTCACGTTGTTGACTTGTGGCATGTTTTCCAGCTCCTGGAACAGGAACTAATCACGAAACCATCGTCGCTACCATTCGAGGAGGTGAGAAAAACGCCTTGGTTTTGTGGAATGTTTTCTCACTGTCGTCGTTTGTGTGCAGATTATCTACTGCAATATTGGGAATCCACAATCTCTAGGCCAAGTACCAATCACTTTTTTTCGAGAGGCAAGTGTTTTTACTCGCAAGTCTCTTCTCTTTTTCCGGGCCTCGGTATAAATGCTTGGTTTTGTTCGTATCTCAGGTGGTTGCTTTGTGTGACAACCCTTCGCTACTCGATAAAGCTGAAACTCATGCTCTTTTCAGGTAAGAAGTACTCAAGTTTCCGGCTTTTTTTAACAGGAGCGTTCTTTCCGCAGTGCTGATGCTATAGCAAGAGCCTGGAAGATCATAGATAAAATTCCTGGAAAGGCTACTGGTGCTTACAGCCACAGCCAGGTGCGTACTGCAAAGTTACACTCTCAACTTGAGTGGTCCTGACATTGCTACAGGGTCTACAATATTGCCGTGAAGAAATTGCAGCAGCCATTGCACGTCGTGATGGATATCCGGCCAAAGCGGAGGATTTATACCTTACAGATGGAGCGAGTGTTGCAGTAAGCAGTTTACTTCGCATTGAGCTTTGAGCTTTAAACTAAGTGAGTTTTGCGCTATTTAGGTGCATATGATGATGCAGCTACTTATAAGCTCGGAAAAGGACGGGATCATGTGTCCTATACCGCAATATCCCTTGTACTCGGCATCCATGACACTCCATGGAGGAAGCTTGGTACGCTTTCGGAGGTTTTGCTTCGCAGAAAACTTACATTTTTGCGCAGGTTCCTTACTATTTGAATGAGAGCGCAGGTTGGGGTCTTGAAGTGCAGGAACTTCAACAGCAAATCCAGAAAGCCAGGGGTTCTGGGATCAATGTTCGAGCTCTTGTAGTCATCAATCCTGGGAATCCGACTGGTCAGGTGTTTCCTCATTGCCGATAGTGCTCCACGCAATTTTAAGTCGTTATTAATCCTTTGCGTTGTTTTTCCAGGTCCTGTCGGAAGAAAACCAGAAAAAAATTATTCAGTTTTGCAAGGACGAGCGGCTTTTGTTACTTGCTGATGAGGTGCATTAAAGACAGCTTAGGTTTGTGCGTGGTGATAACTTTCCCAAAGTTCACCAAGCGCTTTCTAGTTTGCATCTTTGTTAGAAGGTGCGCTGACATTTTCTTTTATGCAGGTGTATCAAGAGAACATCTATGCTGAAGGTAAAAAGTTCCAATCATTCAAGAAAGTTGCGCGAAGTATGGGACTAGGAGAAAACGATCTCAGCATAGTATCCTTCCATTCGGTTTCAAAAGGTGAGTTGCATACACTGGGAGCTTTTTTTGTTCTCTGGGAATCTGATGATCTCTAGTTCTGACACACAGGTTATTACGGTGAATGCGGAAGAAGAGGGGGCTACATGGAAGTTACGGGAGTGGACAAAGACGTCAAGGAACAAATCTACAAGATCGCGTCTGTGAATCTTTGCTCAAATATTTCCGGTCAAATTCTAATGAGCCTGGTTTCGAATCCGCCAAAGGTATCAGCAAGCCTCTTCTGGTTTTTTGTTTTTCTCTAGCTGAAGAATGCTGTCAACATGCAGGCCGGCGACGAATCTTATGAAGACTACGTCCGAGAGCGTGATGGCATATTGGCTTCACTTGCGAGACGCGCCAAGGTCAGAAAGACGACGATCTCGCCGTGTTTTCCTTTTTTTTTTCCTGCTCAGCCCGAGACTAAGTCCCTCCTCTTGCAGCTGCTGGCCGAAGGATTTAATAAGCTAGAAGGCGTCAGTTGCAACCAGGCCGAGGGCGCGATGTACTTGTTTCCTCGGCTCCATTTACCGGAGAGAGCTCTCAAGGCTGCAGCAGCGGTCTCCATGGCTGCTGATACGTTTTACGCTCGGAGATTACTCGATGCAACTGGCATTGTCGTCGTTCCTGGCTCAGGATTCGGTCAAGTAAGTTTCCAGCTACATTGTTTTGGTTTCTCGAGAACCGAGCTTATCTATACTTCGTTTTCTCAGGTTCCCGGAACTTGGCACATCAGATGCACTATTCTTCCGGCCGAGGAAAAGATGCCAGCCTTGATCACTCGCTTGACGAGCTTCCACCAAAGGTTTATGGACGAGTTTCGAGACTGAAGAAAACATGATTTTTATGGTCGAGACACAAGAAATCTTACAAAGAAGTGAACGACACAAAGAAGATATTATTTTGGAAGATTCATGTCCTGTCTTAGGCCAAATTTTTGATAAATAAGATGTGTACGAAGATTGCGAATATGCGTGCCGGGGAAGGTTTTGGGTTTAACGTGGCCCAAGAACATTCCAAGTACATTCTGTCCTGTCCACGTGGAAATTTACAATTGGTTATGCTTCCAGCTGTCGGTTAAGCTTCCACAGCCGTCAGATTCGACACGACTTCGACGTCCCCGATGGCGAGCTAGGCTCGGAGTGGGTCGGTTGCCAGGTTCGGCATCTCCAACACTCGCATTCTTCGGAGAGTGAGTGAGCTCGCGGCTATGGCGGACGAGGGCGCGCGGCATTCTCGCACTAGCTAGGGTAGGCGCTGGCGAAATTTCGGCTGGCATTTGGCGACAGTAGCTTCTGATCGATCGGCGCCTTGCTCGTGCGCCAATTCGGTGCTACAAGCCATGGCGCAGAGCAACTGGGAGGCGGATAAGATGTAAGTTACTGCTGCTGCCGCTAATGCCGGTGATTCCAGCTCGCGCTATCGTGATCTGGGTTCTTGATGAAATGATCGATGATCGTGTTTCTTACGCTTGGATTTTAGGCTGGACGTGTACATCCATGATTATCTCACGAAGAGGAACTTGCAGAACTCGGCAAAGGCTTTTTTCACGGAAGGAAAAGTGTCGTCCGATCCCGTCGGTAAGTTTGTCATCTCGATTGATTGGGTGGAGTCACGAGTGATCCTTTTTTCTTTGGAACTTTGTAGCTATCGATGCACCCGGGGGATTTTTGTTCGAGTGGTGGTCCGTGTTTTGGGATATCTTCATTGCTCGCACGAATGAGAAGCACTCGGAGGTGGCAGCGGCTTACATCGAGGTTGGATCAAACCCTCTTTTTGTTTTTTTTTTTCCTTTGTTCTCGAGGAGCTGATATAGTGAATGTCTTTTAGACCCAGAAACTGAAAGCTCGCGAGCAACAACAGCCTCAAACTCTCCATCAAATGCAGCTTCTCAGGCAGCAGCAGCAGCAGCAGCAACAACAGCAGCAGCAAGCTCAACAGCACCAACAGCAGCATCATCAGCAGCAGCAAGCTCAACAGCAGCAAAGGCCATTGATGAGCAGTCCTTCGGAAGCTCTTCTTCGTCAAGCCACGCCGACGGCTAATGTTATGGCTGCAAAGCTCTACGAGGAGAAGCTCAAGCAAGATGAGCCATCTTTGAAGGTGTGCTAGCAGACGTTTGTTTCTATCTTAAGGCTGAATTTATTTCTTTGTTTTGGCAGAGGTATGGAGATACGTCACTGGATCCAAACCCAGATATCAAGCCTTCAGTTGCTCCTCCAGGGTGTGTAGGATGATGTTGCATTTTCTTTACGACCTTTAACTTTTATTTACTTCTCTTGCGCAGGTCAGCTGGCATTCAGGCTCGTCAGCAACAAGCACTTCAGGTATTTACTCCATGGTTCTTTTGTTCTACAGGTTCTACAAATCTTTTCTATAATGCAGGATAATAAAAGTGATGTTCATTTATTAAATCAAAGATCACCAGCAACTGATCCCGCATTATTCAATATGAAAGGCGGTATATTAGCACCAGGCGCGAACACAAATCAATCCTCAAATTTACTTGTACAGAAGAGCTGGCCGTCTTTGGCTGTAAGTGGTTTTCTGTTTCTATTTTCGTCGCAATTTATTAATGCTTTTTCTCGTAGCAGGGCATGGATCAACGCTTGATCCAGCAGCAGAAACCGTTTCTACAGTCGTCCTCACACGCTTACCAGCAATTACATGCATTGACTCCTCATCAACAGCAGCTACTTTTTCAGGCTCAGCCTCAAGGCAGCATCCCCTCATCAGCACTAGCTGATGTAGATCCTCGGCGGTTCAAAATGCTACTCAACAACAGGAATGGAAAAGAAGGACAAGCGAATGTTTTCAACGATCCGGCAGCCGCGGTTATTGGTTCTCCCTTGCAAGCTGCATCACCTCTGTCGCGTGCAACATCTCAAGACCAGGAGCTTCTAATGAAGGTTTGTAACTACTAACACCGACACTTACACGCTAACTGATGAT